TATAACTGCAGATCCGTATCCCACAGTGTTGTTTCCCTGAGCCTCTGTAAAACATCTTATTACCAGCTAGTCCTGCCACCCATGCTGGCGGATGAGCTGGAGTATCTTCTAGCTCAGGGGTGGGCCCTCCAGCTGCGGTGAAACTACAAATCCCATTATGCATCTGCCTTTGGGAGTCATGCCTGTGAGAATCTTGCAATGCCTCATGGGATTTGTAGTTCCACAACAGCTAGAGGGCTGGAGTTGGCCCACCCCTGCCCTAGCTGATTGCTGCAGCGAACGACGGAGCATCCTGAATGAGGAGCTGAGGGATAATTTACCTGTGTGTGGGGCTGGGGAGGTGCATGGGACCTGGCATTCCTATGTCGCTACAATGCCAGCCAGGTGTGCGCTTGTAAGGGTGGCTCCAGAGGACCCTGCAACAGGAATGGAGACACGCTGGAAACAGAGGCAGAGGCTAGGCTGGCCATACACTGCTTGAATTTAGCAGGACTCAGATGAAATTCCACCATTGTGTGGCCCCTTCTGTCTGTCAGTCTGGAAATTCTTGAGTAAACAGTGACTACGACAATCAGCTGCAGTCAGTGGGATATTTTGGTTTTGTGCTGCCCTAGACAAGACTATAATCAGACACCCCCATCTAAATTTGGCCCACCGCTTTTGCGTAACCTGTCAGTCTCTGGATAGAGTATGCACGCTGTATCCAGCTGTGACAGGTTGCGCCATTTGCAATGCAGAATACCACCAGACTACAAATCCCAGCAATGCAGAATAATATGAAGCTACATACTCTGTGTTGCTCCTGCGTGGTGGACTGATGTCTCCAGGGTGTCAGGTGGGCTCTCTGGCGGCCTGTGCAGGGTCTCACCAGGCATCCAGATGGTCTTGTGGGTGGGTGCGGGCAGCGGGGTTGCACAGGAAGGATGAGATGTGCGTCTGATGCTGCTTATAGGTCCCCAGTAGGCTACCGTGATGTCCCCAGCAAGCGTAGGACCTTAAGGCAGCCGTTTGCATTTAAAAGTAAAAGCGCCTGTGTCAGCACTTATTATAGGGGACATTTTCACAAGTATGGCCAGGATGAGCGCCGATACCAGCAATGGCAGGTAAGGCTCTGCCTCACTGGTTTGGGGGGCACCCTTCTGGAAGTTGTCAACCAAGGCAAATGCCTTGTTAGCCTTGCAGCAGATACACCTCTGGCTGCAGTCACTGTTCATGTACTCCTGACAGCAGCACACCCACCCACCCCTGTCAGAATACAATAGCCTGGGCAGGGGGAGCCTGCGGGACGGAACAAGAAATAGCGATAGGTGTATGGGCAGCTTTAGGGAAAAGAGGAACATAGAAGGCATACAAACACAGTAAGCGCATATGTTGCTATATGCATTTAAAATGGACTTTCAAATGTTATTAACCCCTCCGTGACTAGCTAACATTTTTATTTTATAAATAGCCCTTCCTGTGAAAATAAAAATAAATAAAAGCTCCAGGGTGGCCCTTCATGTCCTGTGCTGTTGGTCTCAACTCGCTTCCTTAAAGCCCAGGGGGTCGTGGACATGCCCCTAGATGGACATCATCAACATGAGCACACAGAAGAATGCTGCTCGTGTCAATACATGAGCAATGTTCTCTGCATCATAGAGGAGCACCCATTTCCAAGAAAGGGAGAAGAGGAAATTACTTTTATACTTTTAATTATTATAAACATTGCAGCTGTTTGCATGGGTCACACCATACATTAAAATGCAGGGACCTATACAAAGGTTAAGTCATGTTGTAGACGGGTAGATGACATGATAGATGGATGTGATGCTTTAAAAAATGAATTCACTAAAGTACTATGTATCATAATCAACTACTGTGCTTTTTTGTTTGCTACAAAGATAGTACTTTTGTCTTTTTTTCATACTCTTTTGCAACTCAGTGGTGCTGGTTTTCCCCAGCCTTTTTCGGCCACTTCTTGTTTACATGTACCTGCTCCTCACATCACTGTTCTGGACGAGCTTCCTAAAAGTGATAACATTTTACCATGTGTGTCAGCTCAGCCATTTGTTGTCCCCTCAGGGGCAGCAGGATGACAATTCAGCATCTCAATTTGTAGACAGTTGTCACCTTATGACATTAATTGCAAGGATAACAAGAATGCAAGGATAACAAAAAATATTCAAACTGCGCTGAGGAATCAAAGAGCACTAAAGAGGATGTGCTAAATAGGGGACTAGACCCAAAAAATTGAAAATAAGAAAACGCACTAAGAGTAAAACGAGTGACCTGAAAATAAGAAAATAAATGTACAAACGGAGAACTTCAACCAATGATCAAAAAACTGTGCGTGGTGCACAACGCATGTGCAATGAATTGCCAACGATAAACAAAATCAATATATAATCATGTACCATAAATCATGTACCATGTGAATCCTGTAGAGGTAAAGTCAGCAAAAAATAAAAAACATACCAGTGCATCTGTAAGGGCCTGTTCACATGAGTTTCAGGTGCGGATCTGCAGACGCGGTGCTATGTGTTTTGCCGCGTTTTTGATGCCTTCCAGTTAAAAAAACAAAACATTTTTTTTTTGCTGGAGTGGGGCTGTCAGTATGTTAGCTGCAGTGCGTTTTTGACGCGATTCGCAGACAAACGCGTGTTTCCGAGGGCTACCTCCCAATGGATACCTGTGGCAAATACGCCCCAAAGAAGCTCCTGTACTTCTTTGGGCGTAGGGCGTTTTGCAGCGCGTTCCTACGCGCTGTAAAATGCCCAGGTGGGAACCATGCCCATAGGCAATCATTGGTTTTCACATGTTGAGCGTTTTACAGAGCGTAGGAACGCGCTGTAAAACGCCCAGGTGTGAACCAGGCCTTAGGGTGCAATCATGTGAAAGTCCGGTGAAACACCCTTATGAAGGTGTGATGTGCAATCATCCAATTGTATAGATTAGTTCATGCTCAAAAAGAAAAGAGATATTGTGCAGTATGGCAAAATATATATATATTTCCTGATGCCAATACATGGCAGCATACGATAGGTGTGGCCCCGCCCCCAGCCCAATCACAGGACCAGTTATACTATAAATTCTAGCCCGCTTGCAAAGGCCACCATTCTTTTTTCTGTCCTTGCTGCTCAAGCCTCAAGGAGTAATTAGAGCCCGTCTGATCAATTATCATATCAGAAGACGAAGAAGGAGAAGATTTGGTCTTAACTACACAAAAAGCGTTGATTGTTCATCTGCAATACGGTGATCAATATGAGACGGTGAGTGCGGCTTGATATATGTTAAAGTACGGTGGCGAGCACGAATCACGTAATAATTGTCTTAAGGAGCCCATACACCTGCAGATAATTGTAACTTTCACATGGTTGCTTGAGAATTATTAATAACTCTCAAGCAACCAGACCGATCTACCATTCCCGGTGGGTGCGAAATAACTGGGAGTTTACTGTATATGGGTAAAGTTCCTCTTTTAGCAGTTGCAGAGCTTGGGCATGTTGATTGCTAGTTCTTGTTGTTTTGTTATAACACATCATTTCTGTTTTTAATAAGTTTTTTTTAAAACATTTTCAAAATTACAATACAACAAGCACAAATAGTACAAAAACATTAGTGGAAGGTTAAACAGTTCAGACCCACGTGGCTGCAGGGCCCAGCCTACAGTATTTACCTTTTACCAATATACTGTATGTGCACATATATTTTCTACTAATATACTTAGTGACATTAAACCCTCAGATTTTTTAACATAAACCAATACTGTAATGTGCACCTTACTGTAATCAATGGTTGTTTCCCTTCTCTTTGCTGCTCTTCCTTTTAAATCCTTCTGTCTTCTCATGCTGAGGGAGAACTTGCCTTTTCAGCTCAGGGCCTCTTCCTGTAGGGTTGGCTCAGGTTGCAAACCTGCACACAGACACCATGTATCCATTTCAGAGACAAGGCAGTCTGCTGCAAACCAGAAGTTCTCCCCCAGCATGAGAACAGATACAGATTTAAAAGGAAGAGCAGCAAAGAGAAGGGAAACAACCATGGATTACGGTAAGGCACACATTACAGTATATATTTATGTAAAATAAATCTGAGGGTTTAATGTCACTTTAAATGAAACAGTAGGGTATATGAATGTTTGAATCCTGATTTTACAGAGTTCTGTAAGTGGAGTATTAATAAACTTATTTAGAGACATGCCCGCAAAATCTTGTGGTTTATTCCAGTCTCATGACTTTGGTTGAATATAAGGAACTAGATTTCCTCATTGTCCTGAGGCATAGTTTGCTTTTTGCTTACAAAACAACATTTGTCCAGTACAATTGGTATGTGACTCTGTGAGATTAGTAATTGATATCCATAGTATCCCTTGCTGCTTGATCTCCCATTTTAACTAGTCGCTCTGAGCTCATTGCATGGGTCCATACCTCACCCAACCCTCTTCTCTGCAAACTTAAACGGTTTCTAAACCCTCAGCTCTTTTTGCATATATCTACTGCTAGGAAGCAGTAGATATATGCAAAAAGTTGAAAAACAAAAACAAAGCCCGCTTTAAAAGAGGTTAATACTTACCTGTGTCTTCCCCGCGCGCTTCCGTCTGAAAATGTGAAAATTCTCGGGTGCCTGCAAAGGATCTTGGGGCGGGCGCATGCGCAGTTCACATTTTCGGCCGGGACGGGAGGAGAGACGCAAGGTAAGTCTATGGACGCGTGCAACCGCCTGCAGAGACCGTGGGACAGGAAGTGCCAGCAAGCCCAGAGGAGTCAGTGCTGGATCGGAGAACCGCCGCACCGCTGGAGAGAAGGCTGAAAACATCCGGAAAGAAGATCAGATTAAGAGACATCATTTAAGGTAAGTGCTTTAATTAACGTTGGGGTGAGTGCCTTTTAATGTCACTTTAACATTAACATTTTCAGCATAGTTCATGGGTTTGTTCCTACTCACCATGGGGTGTTCATGTTTCTTTTATCACATAAAAAAGGAATAATCCAATAGGGAAACTAAGGCCTATCCCACCATAATTATTATTATGCAGGATTTATATAGCGCCAACAGTTTGCGCAGCGCTTTACAATATAAGGAAGACATTACAATTCCAATACAATTCAAGACAAGATGGTAAGGAGGGCCCTGCCCCTGAGGGCTTACAATCTAAAAATGCCTGTGCGGTTTTATGGACCTTGGATCTTGATCTCTGTGTGTACATGGATTCTGCCATATTTGCTCATTATATAACCTGGCTCATTTTTCTGCAGATCCTTTTATGTCCCTAATAAGGTCTGTCTGAAAACAGAACTCTCTGACAGCTGTAACATTGTACAGTACCCACTAAGCACCTAGGCGAGAGAGAGAGAGAAGAAAATGTGGATAATGATGTTTGTCACAACCCAAGGAGTGGACCCGTTCCTCTATACGACTACCTGCAAGTGGAGTCTAGGTGGTAACTGGTCATTTGCCAGGCCCCCGTTCATGGGAGTTTGGACTTAGCTCCTCCTTACCCCCAGGTCACTCCACAGGTACTCACAGAGCAAAAGAGGATCGGTGCTGGGCGTTGGTTAACTGGATCAGTGAGAAGCACGGGGTTCAGAAAAGCTGAAGGCAGGGGTTAAGTCTCTGGATACAGAAGCAGTGGCAGGAGAATTGCAGGTGCAGTGACTGCTGGCGCAGCAAAGGCAGGGCTGCGGATGCGAGTCAGGTACTGGCTGGTTGCGGGCTGAATGCAGGCTCGTCACTGGGGGCATGCTTAGGTTTCTGGCAAAACAAATGACAAACGCACTCAACAATTTGTCACCAACTAGACAGTAAGGTGCACACGAAATGGGCTTTAAACAGCAAACAGTAGAAAGGCATCATGGCACACTCACAAGTCAGCATGTAAAGAAACTTGTCTCACCACTAAGGTTAATAACAGAGGTTTGGATACACGTCTTCTGCAGAAAATGTTAAAAGCCGCACAGCTGTTGGTGACAAATTGTTGAGTGCGTTTGTCATTTGTTTTGCTTGACTGATTTGGTGCAGTGATGCATGGGGGTTCTCAGCTGCCAATGGGATGTGCGGGATCCCTTGTGTGTTCCTGTGCCTTTTAAGGGAGGTCAGGCTTCCTCCTGACAAACCTGCACCCAATTTGAAATCTTCTGCCCCCATGTGCTCCAAGATGGAGACTCTCATAGTTTAGAGTTAGGACCGCACTATAAGAGGTGCCTTGGCGTGGCTGTGCGGCTTTCACATTTTCTGCATTATCCAAACCTCTGTTATTAACCTCAGTGTGAGACAAGTTTCTTTACATGCTAGCTTGTGAGTGTGCCATGATACCTTTTTACTATATGCTTAGGTTTCTGACTCGGGGTTCAGGGTCCTGTAGGTCAGGCAATGTAAAAACATGATGCTTGAGCAATGACAGCTTGTCCTCCTCGAGTTTGAATAGGGCAACTCATGTGGTGCACCCAGTGTTGCATCACGTGATGTGGCTTGGACACTGTGGGAAGAACCCAGAAGTGTCCTCGCCTGTGGGGAACGGAGAAGGACCATTGTTTGGTGAGCCAGCATACATTCCTGTGAATATGGAGAAATATGTCACACCACCTGAGCAGTCTCTAACTCTGATATTTGGCACTGGTGTAATTTTTTTCCCCCCTGATCTAACTCTATATTAGTTTATGTTAACACGTCTTCAAAATTAGTTTTGGTTATCAAGAAAGTTCAAAGAAAATATATTTTAAAATAATTCTTTGTCCCCACTTTTAGGTACCCATATTCCGTGAATATGTTTACATTCATGAACAGTTCAGACACTGAAGAGGAAGAGGACTGCAATGAGAGAACATCACTGATTGCATCTGAAAGTCCACCACTACCTTCTTATCAACAAGGAGTACAGACATCATCAGAGGCTACAACTCAAAGGGTGAGAAACATGCAGCTAGTCCAAAAACTACACTTCCAAATCTTATACAATATTTAATGTAAGTACGAGGGCCCAAAAAATACAAGCATCCTGACTGGCTTCTCATCCGTAAGACGAGAAGCAGATATTTAACGTGGAGTGAATATTGCAGATGAGAAAGATGTGATTGGATGAAGATCAGTAGGTGTGCAGGTAACTTATTGTCTATATGGATCGAGGTGGTGCCGTCTGCAGGTCACCCAAAAGGAGGGGGTACGCCAGTTAGGTGTGTGGTGGGGACATCTGTATAGGATAGAAACTAGCATGCATTTCCACCACCCTGTAAACTTAGTGCTTTTGGGCATGACAATGCATGTGACTTTCTTTTTTTAAACTTCCTCTCCATAATACCGCATTCAGCGTTTGCACGGCCAATTGCCAAACCCAAGTACTGTCATGTGGGTTTTGGGGGAGGGTCCTTTAAAGGAGAACTATGAGGCGAGTGAAAATCAGTCAGCCTCATAGTTCTAGCCGACCTGTGACAATGAAACTGTCACAGGTCGGCTCAATAGATCGGGAAGTGAGCGAACACATACTGTCACTCGCTCACTTCTCGATCTAAAATGTCATTCACGGCTCCCTGCAGGGATTCCCCCCCTGTCCGATCCTTCAGCGCTGACTGGCGGAACGGACGGGGGAGGGGGCGGGTACAGCTGGCTCTGCCTCTACATAGGCAGAGCCAGCTGTCAATCACGCAGCTGGGTGGATCTCGACAGTGATGTCGGGATCCGTCCCAGGTGCGGCGTCTCAGTATACCGCGAGCTGTAGCTCGCGATATACTGAGCTTTGGGTGACGAGAGGACGCTAGTTTGCGTTCTCCCGTTACCCTTAGGAGAACTATGGGGAAAAACCCTGACCCCATAGTTCTCCTTTAACCCTGGGTAAGCTCACTAAACCCATTGTTGGGTTGAAACTTCTACAGCAATCATACATGGAGCTCTAGCAGGTGAGAAGTGTGACAGGGTAGTAAGTGGAAGGGTAAGTAAGTCCCCTGTACCTTCCCTGCTTTAAAGTGAATTTGTTGTTTTGCCTTTAATGGGAAAGTAAATGTCTCCTTTAAAGGAGGAGTGCAGGGAGAGTAAAATATGTTCTTCTTGCAGCATGAGACACTGCAGGTGTCACACACTGCCTCTATACCAAGAGCAGTCTCTGACTCTGACCGAGTCTCTTTAAACCGAGAGGTGAGTGATCATGTAACCGCTGATCACTCCGCTCACGGTCCCCTTCCTACAGAGAGCAGTGATTGTCAGTCACTGCTTCCTGCAAGGGTTCTCTGTTCCTCCAGCACTCACCGGAGAGACATTTTTACACAATGCACTGCAACCAACCTCCAGACAGTGTCATGGTGAGAACAGGGCACATGGGAAAGCAGTTGCTTTCTATGTGCCCCAGCACTGAGCTTGCATTAATCTATGCAGATCCATGCAGATCCACTAATGTGATCGAGCCCTAAAGCTAAACACAAGACAGATACAAAAACAAAACAATATTGCGGCTCTGCAAATATTAATACACCGATTTACTGTATTTTTTAAAAATCTAAGCGGTCAAAGTAAATTAATTTGACTTGCTATCATCTTCTTGCAGTTCCTGTATAGCAGAATGAAGACTGGTAGAGGAACAAGCAGCACAATGAGGCAATCAGTTCATGTGCTGACAAGGGCAATGATGATAGGATGAGATAGCAGAGTGACAGAGAGATAAGCTCATCACTGTGCTGCTTCTTTTTCACTGTTCAGTCACAGGCTGGGGACAGGTCCATAACAGACATGAATTAGAGCAGAGGTAGACAACCTTGACACTCCAGCAGTACTGAATCTATATATTCCATTATGCCTCTGCCTTTTGGAATCATGCCTGTGGCTGTCAGAGTCTTGCAATGCTTTTTTGGACTTGTAGTCCCACACAACCGGGGTGCTTAGGTTGCCTACACATGGCATGGAGGAAGTGAATTGAATAATGCTAGCTGTCATTCATCCAGAAGACTGAGGACATCCAAAGGCAGATGGAGGACACTGCTTTTTTATTTTATCTTTTAATTCTGTGTTACAGTATAGTGATACTTGTGTATTTAATCATAAGAGGACCTCTGCTGTACCTGGTTGCTATATGGGTCTTTTGTCTCAAAGATGGAAGGGCATTGTGTTACCTTGGCGTTTGTCATGTGTATCCAAAAAATACTCCTGTATACCACTTTGTTGTGTTGTTACTGTGAGTTGCACTGTTTACAAGCTATTTTCTCTTCCACAGAAACGCTATAGCAGCAGTGCTCAGGCTTTGAGTGATGCAGCAAATGGAGAGATGTCCCGTCCCCCTGACAGACAGGTCCTAGTGGACAATGAGGAAGAAGAACTGACTCTTAAATATGGTGCCAAGCATGTCATAATGCTCTTTATCCCAGTCACTCTCTGCATGGTTGTCGTTGTAGCTACAATTAAGTCTGTCAGCTTCTACACCGAAAAAAATGGGCAGTTGTAAGTACTTTTTAAAATTTATTTGACGTGTTCTATAAATGACTTTTTATATTGTACAGTACTTCAGCATTTGTATGGTTGCAGTTTCAGGCTGTATAAGAAGGAAGAAAAGACGAGAAAATAAAAAAAAGAGTGAATTGGAAACTAAACAGAAACTCATTATTTTATGATTTCTTTACTATACTTTTTACTATATTTAGATATTGATATAAAATACAAATTAGCTGTTGTCTTCCAATTTGGAGAAAATGCAATAAATATTGGTTTAGTGTTCCTGTATTCACCTAATGATGATACAGAAATAGTATATACTCCCTAAGTAGAAGGAGTACTACATCTAGCAGATGGCTGGATATGTACAGTATGGTTTCACCAACTATAGGTTGTGTAAAGTGCAGTCTAGACTGCAACTGAAGCCATTTAGGCCTCATGCGCACACACAACGCAAGAGCAAAATTGTATATTGTGTATAAACACGTATATGTGCGCACTATATGCAATCCCAGAATGCATCATTCTTAATAGAAATTTGAATGTACTGTATGTGTCTATACGCACGCACGCACGTAAAATATGCAGAAATACGGAGCCTGGACACATCTCGGGTCTATTTTTTTTTGGCGCATCTTTACGCAGCGCAAATATACAGCTCCATACGCAGCTATGTGTATGGAGCCATTTATTTGCATATGCTGCATATGGGAAAATACCCGCATATACACAGCGTATTGTACAGTACAGCAGCAGCAGTAGCAGCAGTACAGTGAGGCTTAAAACTAAAAGAAAATCCAAAATTTGGGCTGTCAACAGAACGAGAAGAGATGGGAAATCTTCCAATGGGGACACTAGTTCTGTTGACTCTGCTGACTATCACAGATTTCCTCTCACTTGTTGTGGTTGTTGGAAAGGAAGTGAAGTGAAATCTTCCAATGGGACACAGGTGGCAAAAAAAAGCTAACAGAACTTCTAACCCTCCCTTACTTTATCCAAAACTAAAAGAAAATGTTTTGACTTTAGTTTTACTTTAAAGCGCCAAAATAACAAGGTCTTGTTATTAAGTGTGACCCTCCCTTCCTTTATCTCAAAGTGCTGCACAAAATAGGTGGGGATGACATAACCGTCTTTCCGGCAAGATCTTGGAGAATGTCCAGTAGTACAAATCTCGTGAGAAAATGCTACTTACTACACTGTGCTGTAGTGTAGTTTTGGGCTACTCGGCATTCTTGGTTTCTTAGTGGAAGGATGGTGACGTCACCCCCTGCAGTACAGAAACCGGGGGAAAGGTGAGTATATTAACTAACAATCCCCCCTCCCCAAGCTGATTTTCTTGTTTTTCTGCAGCATTTTTAGATGTGGGAGGGGGGCACACTAAGTAAGCAGACCTTGCATTAAAGCGGACTTTTACCCATATCTTTAAAATAACAAAAAAACACACCTTTTAGAAATGTTTAGTAATGACAATCTACAAATACATACTTCTAGATAGTTGCCGGCTTTGTATTCTTTAGGTACCTTATTTCTCTTTTCTTTCCCAGTCTTCTGTCAGTGGCCATGTTTACTAAGGGCAGATTACTAGCTCTCCTTTTATTTCCTGGATTTCTGGCACATGTGACTAGGACATGTGACCATGCACATCATCTCAGGGGAGGAAAATGCCTTTCCCTGAGATCTCATGAGATTACAGATGAGATTTCCCAGCAATGCTCTGCTGATGACAAGGCAATCCCAGTGTGCATTGCTTTGCCAAACTGAAGTAATTTTGCTCTTTCAAAGCAGGAAGTGGATGCTCTGCAAGTGTAAGTATTCCAAAATCCCAGGGATGCATTGGTAGAATTTGATCTTTGAGTGTAAAGGTCTGCTTTAAGCTTTAAAGCTGAACTTTGGGATACACAAATATTGTCTAAAAAATACAAGAGGCATATATAATCTTGCTTACCTCTTGGTGTATTTCTTCCAGATCTGAAGAGTAATCCAGTGTGAAACTTTGCTTCTGTGCAGGGGTTTCCTGTAATAAAGACCAGTCACTGCTGCGTTCTCTAATTGTGAAGGGTGACTGGTCTTGTATTCGCCCCCTCCTGTAGTTTTGTACACGCAGCATGTGGTGTGTGGAGCTGCTGGTCCCCTCCCACAGCTCTGCTCCCTGCACAGGCTATGTACAGCCCAGAGATGATGTCACTGCTACTTTTACACAATAATAACCATATTTATAAAAAGCATGTGGTGCACACAAAATGGATTTATATCCTATGTGACTACTGTGGGTCATGTTTAAATGAAATTTTTTTTGCCCAGTAGGGGAAACTGTTTTTTTTTTTAAATTTCGGTAATTTTTCCTTAATATAGTAAAAAAATAAAACCCCCAGTGGTGAATAAATACCACCAAAAGAAAGCTCTATCTGTCCCCAAAAAAGGGTATAAAATTCATTTCAGTACAGCGCTGCATGACGGAATAAATGTCAGTTAAAGTACCGCAGCGCTGAATACTGAAAAATGGCCTGGATGGGATGGGGGTTTAACACCGCGGATGTCAACTGGTTAAGGTATTTTGTTCTTCTAGTATCTCTTTCCAGTAGCCCCAAATCCACAGATTGTCATACTTGACGCATGCTGATAAACATATGGACAAACTGGTTTGTAGGATGATCAGTGTTTACTGTGCAGATCTACAATCAGGCACAGAATGGCAGTAACACTTCCAAGTCACACATTCTGTTCTTTTCACTTCATATGTGATTAGATTATGTTTTTTGAACCTATTTTCTGTATTGCTAAATATCTTTACACAACTACACATATAGCAGAAATCTAACTTGCATTAAAACGTAAGGTAATTTATCCTTTAGACCCCCATCCACATGTAAGAAATGCAGGGGTTATTTTTTAAAGTTCAACGAGATCATTGGAAGGCTGACAATTCTAAATCTTACAAAAGGGATACCCCAGCACTGTGCTATGTTTACCATAATTACTGTCTGTACTGTAATGAAAGGTTTCATTATCCGTTGTAAACACTGACAAAGGGTTAAAGAGAACCTTTACCCAAATCTGACAGCAAAGGCACCTTTAGGAATGTTTAATAATGGCAAACTACAATCAGATACTTCTAGATAATTGCAGGATTTTATTCTTTGCATACTTACTTTCCCCATTCTTCTCACAGTGGCCATTTTAACTAAGGGCAGATTGCTATATTTCCCTTTACTTTCTGGAACACATTTGACTTGGCCATGTGACCATACACATTATCTCAGGGGAGGAAAATGCGTTTCTCTGAGATCTTGTGAGATTACAGAGAAGATTTCCCATCAATGCACTGCTAATGTAAGCTTCCCAGAATGCATTGCTTGGGCACGATTACATCACTAATGCCCAGGAGGACCAGAAAGTGGAAAAACAGTAATTGTATGCAAAAGTAAAATGTGTTTAGCTAAGGTGATTTCACATCAGCATGCAGAGCTGAAGGCTGATGTGATTTTTAGTGAAAGGGGGTAAAGGTCCAGTTTTAAGATCTAGAAGCATTGTCATGTTAATGGGAGGAAACCCATTGTGTTCTTGGGGACAGACTCCCTTTCACTTATTCAGAATAGCTCCACTAAAGAAACATCTAAAAGTAGGGATGCGCCGATACCGGTTTTTCAGAATCGGGTACCGATATATTTTTTTTCGGTACTCGCCGATACCGGCCTCCCCGACCAATCAGGAAGCTGGGAGGTGAGTCATTACACCCCGTCCGGCTTCCTGATTGGCAGGGAAGGCGGCTCCTTGCTCTCTCGTCACCAAGTGACGAGAGAGCATGGAGCCGGCTTCCCGGCCAGTTAGGAAGCTGGGCAGCGTGTAATGACTCGCCACCCGGCTTCCTGTTACCGGTAGTTTCGGTATTGGCATAGGCATCGGGAGCATTTGACGCGGGTACGAGTACTCTCCCAAATACTCGGTATCGGCACCGATACCAATACTAGTATCGGCGCATCCCTATCTAAAAGGTAAGAAAAATATTTTTAGATATGCTGTGTGAATGGGAAAACATACACAGATATTGGAAGTTTTTCAAATTTGACTGAAAAGTAGAAAAAAACTGATTTAAATGATAAAGTATTGGTATGTGCTGTCCTCTGCTGGTGGTATTGTTTATTTATTTATTTTACTGTTTTATAGGTTTGTTAGCCACAGGTTAGACTAAGGTTTAAACAAGAGATACTGGATGCTTTGATTTGCCTTGCAGTTTGGCAGATTTCTGCCAAACTATATGACCTGACTTTTTTGTTTTCGCTCGTGTGTGGAGGAACACGAAGTATTGCACCACAGCCGATTTCCTGCTGTGGTACAAGAATGGCCCCTGCATATGGATGTAAAATGAAACATGGTCATAAAGATAAACTTAGCTTTTAAAGCAGAACTTGGGGCAAAACTGTTCTTAACCCTTGCAGTGGGGCTACCCCTGCACTGCAAGGGTTAAGTGCTTGTTTTTGGCTAGGTGCTAAATGAAAGCATGTATACTCGCCCGATCCTCAGAGATGGCTTGCTCCTAGACCACTCCCTGGAGCCTCTCTCCCCCTCCCCTGCAGCAGTCTAATGTCCTGTGAGTCATCACTTCATATACACAGTGTATAGGACATGAGAACGCCAAGTGACATACCATCGCTGCAGCAGCGAGGGAGCTGGCCGGCTCTGCTTGTTTGTTTATTCCAGATTACCCCCAGTCCGGCATGATCCGGTCCGTGGAAAGTGATGTCTGATCCATTTGTTTTACCAGACCTAGCCGGAGCCAGGGCTAATCGGGTGTAAACGAACGCTCTTCAGACCTGCATAGAGCATCTGATCGGCTCCGGCTGAAAAACTGACAGTCGGACCCAGTCATGTGAAAGGGGCCTAAGGGGGAGATTGTGTATATTTCCTTTCTAAATATTTTTTGAATTACTTATTTTCAGAAGATACAACTTCAGTTGGACAACGACTTCTGAATTCTGTTCTGAATACACTTATAATGATAAGTGTTATTCTTGTGATGACAGTGTTTCTTGTTTTATTATACAAATATCGCTGCTATAAGGTAAGAAGCATTCATTTCATATTTTTCTTTGAAATACACTATAATGATTACTCCATGAATTATTAAATATATCCTTTTAATTTTATTTGGATTAAGGACATAGACTATTATGGGTATGGGTAGTTCTTTTTATGGGTATGTTGTAAAGTGGATTGTGTAAGCTTGTCTTATATGACTTTTATCTCTTACATCTGCTCACTGTTTGTTAAAGCAGACCCCCCCCCCAATAATCTCCCAATAATCTCCTCTCCTAGAAGAACTCCAGGGAAACTTTTTCTTAAAGTGGTTTTAAACCCTCCTTTTTTTTTTGCCTATATCTACTGCTAGCAAGCAGTAGATATAGGCAAAACGTTAAAGAAAAACCCACTTTAACAGCGGTTTAAACTTACCTCGTTATCACTTCGCGCTTACGGGCCGAGAATCCGGAACTGCTTGTGCGGCCACAAAGGATCTTGTCACTTTAACCCTAGCACTGGGGCTAGCTTGCACTGCAAGGGTTAAGTGCTTGTTTTTGTCTAGATGCTAAAATAACAAAGTTATACTCACCCGAAGCTCCAAGTTGGCCAGCTATCACAGCGCTCCCTCCAGCCTGACTCCTCCTAAATGGCACCATTGGAATCTTCCTCAGCATCCTCATGTCTTTACACTGTGTATAGATATGATGATTTACGGGATATTAGACCGCTGCAGTGGAGGGGGAGAGAGGCTCTAGGGGCCGGTCTAAGAGCAAGCCGACTCAAGAGCATCAGGTGAGTATAACTTTTATTTTATTCAACCTAGACAAAAACAAGCAGTTAACCCTTGCAGTGTTAGGGTAGCCGCACTGTAAGGTTAATACATTTTTTTTCCCCTGGAGTTCTTCTTTAAATATACACATGAAAACAAGTAAACTCACTTACAGTAGCATTGAAGCCAAAACCTTTTTATTTTGTTTTGGATTGAGTAATGCAGGGTTATAACTCCTGCCAGCTTTTTTTTTGCCATCTGTGTCCCATTGGGGAGATTTCCCTTTACTTCCTGTCTGATAGCCACAACAGGAAGTGGGAGGATATCCCTCCAAAGGGAGGAAAATCCCTGGTGGTCAGCAGCATCCCCATTGGAAAATTTGCCATCTATTCCTGTTCTGATGACAACCCAAAATTTGGGGATTTATTTTACTGGTAACGGTCACTAGTACAATTAGAAGGGTAAATCTTCATAACAAAAACACAGGCAGAAATAAAAAAAAAATGTTCTAATCCTTCTCCACGTTACCTTTACACACCTCTTTAGTCTTGTTTTTACTCAATGCCCCTAGTCTGTAATCTGCAATTACATTTTAACCCCTTCATGACTGGGCTAGTTTTCAGTTTCTGTTCATAAATGACTGACACACGGTTTACATTTTTGCTGTGTGATACTTCCATGGCAGTAATATACTTTCTTACTAAATGTACCCACTCATATTATATATTGTTTTTTAGAGGACATATAGGGCTATATAATTATATCAAATGTGTACCTAACGCCTCACTTAGTTTGAATAAAATATAAATAAAATGAGGACGAAAACACTTTTTTCAAGTTTTGATTATTATTATTTTTTTGTATAATAATGATAGTATAAAAATGTATTTATATATAATTTTTATTTTCCTAATTTTGTTTGACACTTTATTTTTTATTTTTTTACACTTTGTAAAAAAAACTAATTTTTTTTTCTGTCAGTTTATATTTAAATTAACTTTTTTAATTTTTGGCTATTATTAGGCTGCTCCAAACTTAGGAACAGCTAATAATAACCTTAGAGACTGATCCTGACAGCATGTCTAAATCAGATCTCACTAAAGGTCTTTGATCTTGCTCAGACAATCAGAAGTGATACATTTCAGGCACAGAGATAAATTGTATCTCTTGTATCTCTGTGCCTGAAATGTATCATAAACATCAAAACGAATAGCAGAGAGGTGACTCACTCTGCTACCTCTCTGCTATGCTATTTTCAGCTGTCAAATAGTGCTCCTGTATTTGCATGTAACGGCTTCATTCTTTCATTATTGAAAGAAAGAAGCTTTTACAAAAGCTTAACTATTTTATTAATGAATGCCTCAATACTGAGGCATTCATTAATGACTGGTAACCGCTGAGAATCAGCGTTTACCGGCATTACAGAGCCTTAAATAACTTGTCGCGTACAGTGTACGTGGCCAGTCATATAGGCACTTTGTGACGGGACGTACAGTGTACATCTCCCGTCACGAAGGGGTTAAAATACCTCATCAATGGTTGGCTTCTTATTTCTCAATTCCTGGGCCAGTCCACCAATGGCTTCCATGCCAGATCTGGCGCATGCGCTTTTAGAAATCCGGCATGCTTTGTTGTGTTTAACCGTTGGCATGGTTTTAGCAACAAGAGCACTGGACATTACAAAGGTGTAGTGGTTGGTACTTCTGCGTTGCAGCACTGAGAGTCCCTGGTTCAAATCCCTGTTAGGACACTATCTGCAAGGAGTTTGCATGTTCTCCTTGTGCTTGCTTGGGTTTCTTCCAGGTACTCCTGTTTCCTCCCACACTCCAAAAACATGCTGAAAGGTTAATTGGCTCTCGTATGTATGTGAGATAGGGACCTTAGACTGTAAGCAATTAGATTGTGATGTAAAGTGCTGCGTAAATTGTCGGCACTATATAAATACCTGTAATAAATAAATTACGCCCCTGACATGCTTGTAGCAGCGTATAAACAATAAAGTGTTTTTCCCCCGAGATCAGTTCAGCTGTGGGAGCTCCCTGGAAGGCTTCGGTTAGGTAGGCCTGGGAGGCCAAGGCTACATCACCAGTACCTCAGGAGGGGTAAATGTAAGAAAGTTAAGATTGTAAGTTTAAGCGATATATTTTTGGTAATAGTTAAGGTACTTGAATGCATTTGTAACATTCAACTCCTAAGTTTTGTGTCACTTTAAAGAGAGATTGTCACTTTGACTCACTCCTCGGCATGTACTTGCCTGTTAATATTTAAAAAATAAGTTTAAAGGCTGTTAGCAAAAAAGACTGGTTAGATTTGTATTGCAGCTATGTTGAGGAAAAGATTTCTTTAGTTGCGTATATTATTAAAGGAAGTAGAACACACACACTACAGGAAGTAAGTCATAGAACACTGTATAATACCTTTTGATTTTTTACCATTTATTCCCAATGTTGGTCTATTTTCTTTTTTTTTTTTTTTTTTAGTTCATTCATGGATGGCTGATTCTTTCCTCTCTAATGCTGCTGTTCATGTTTACTTACATATACCTTGGGTGGGTATAAAATATTATTTTTATAAAAACTTTAGTATATTTCTGATTATCTAACATTTATATTTTAGAATAGTAGCACTGACATAGTAGC